TATACTCAGAAAAAAATAGATGGTAGATATCTGTCCCCATGAAATTAATACTTGATTTCCATATTTTCTACACATGGTTTTAAACATAGTCAAAAAATAAGAAAAAACATAAGAGATGATGTGTCTATTGTTAAAATTTTCCAATTAGCTCTTACTAGAGTCATCTAGACCTCATTATTTTACCTAAAGGATAATGAAAAGCACTGTCTTTGACATTGAACTATATGACCAACATGAATCTGTTTAAAAAGCAAGTTTTAAGAAAGAATGAACACACACACAAACACATATATTAAATAATATATATGTATATATAAAATCATAAAGCTTCCTTCAACTTCTGTAGTTTACAACTTTTGGTCTTTGGTCATTTCTTACAGGATACTAAATATGTGGGATAACTGAGATAGGGATATATTTTTTAAGTTATACTCTCTAGTCCACTTACCAAATAATACTACTGACTTTAATGTGAAAAATTCTTCCACAAAAAAGAATACACTATTACAATTTTTAACTTTTTTTCTTTCTTTCTAATCTGAATCAATTTAGATGTTAAACTGAACTATTATTTTAGTTTCCTATGTAAAAAGCAAAGGAAAAAGCCTTCTTGTGTGATCTCTTGCTCCCTAATATACCCCCCAAAATTTATATGTGTGTATATTATATATAGAGGTGTGTGTCTATGTGTGTGTGTGTATATATGTATATATATATACACAGACTTCTATATATAATATACACACATATAAATAATAAATAAATATATAATATATATATATATATATATATATATGCACACACAGACACAGAATACATAATGACTTTCAGGAGTGAAAACAGTCTTTTACAAAAAGATGGATTCCAATAACAGATAGAAATGTTCAGAAAAATCTCAGGATCAATTGTTTTCTCTAGTAAGCTCTCCAAACTTACCTTGAGATTAATCACAGCCTTCACTGCTTTGTATGCTGAATACAAGAGTTCCTTTCGATTTAAAAATGTATCCACTCTGAGTTAACATTCTGTATCTAATTAATATGTGGAGATAAATAATCTGTGAAACTGATGTAGTCTAACCTACACAAGACTTAGATGACTTTATTTGATCCTTAACAACCACATACATTGTTTATTATATGCTTTTCTATATGATCTTATCACAAAGCTAGATCCACTTGATTAAACAACTTTTGGACAATAATCATTTCCTTGTTTAAAGAACACAAATCTCTTATTACTATAATAATAATATCTACCTTCAATGAATTTATATGAATTTAATCACCTCTTCAATTTTAACATAGTGCTGTTGCTTAAGTCTAAGCAGAAGTATTAAGTAGTAGTTTATATTTTTCTTTTAAGGTATATGTTAGGAATTTTTGTGTTTAGGTCATTCTATGTGCATTTTAAAATACATTCCCCAAATTATTTTCAAGTGCATTTGAAAGTGACGATTTGATTAACAGAATGAGATATCACTGATGCATTATTTTTTTTGTTTTGTCCAAATATTTTATTTGTATAGTTCATATTTTTAATATTAAAGTACAAATCTAGGAAGATTTGCTTCAGAGAGCTTTCATTGTATTTTTATGTCTAATTAGAATTCAAGAGGATTTGACATCTGAAATCTTTCATTTTTTAATGTTTTTCTGCATATGGTCAGCAGAAAACAAAATAAAAATAAGATACAAATCTTGCCATATTGGTGGCTTTTACCAAAAAGAAAAAAAAAACCCACGAATGCAGCCTCTAATAATGTCCTTTCCCCCATATTAATAAGAAGGTTTGTGTTGTTCTGACATTAAATGGATTAAGCAGCAAGCCTGCTGAGAAAAATACTCAAAGGTATTAAACCCTAGCAGTGTTGGTTTAACTGTAATTACTGTAAAATAAGATTAAGTCTGAATTTGGAAGAAGAACTAGGTTTGACATAAGACTAAAAGGTAACAGTGTTCACAGATGCCTGAATTAATGCTTCAGTGAAAAATATAATTAGCACAAGATTTGAAAATATGTCTCCTTTGGCAAATGTCTTCAGAGAGTAATCAGTGCTGTAGACTGATGTAGTGGAAAGAGCACTGGGCAAGTGGCCAAAATCTCTGAATTCAAGTTTGTTGCTCTAGCACTCACAAGTTCTGTGACCTTGGATGAGAAATATCTAAAACCTTTGCATCTCAGTATGGTGCATATGGCCAACTGACAACCATTTGCACTTTTTCATACTGTGTATTTCTATACTACAGCAGCTAGAAAGCTGAAAACTGCTTATCCCAAATTCCTGTGCCATCAAACTTCCAAATGTAAATAAGTTTCATCCAATTAGATGCACTTGTTGAGATTAGGAGGCAGAAGTCAAGTGGAGGTCATCCTCCTGCTGCTTCCATGTTTTCTGCTAATAAGTGAGATTGTGGAAACATGATTTTTCTGTGATGGGTTCCAGCATCCAAGTTCTAGGGTTTGAGAGGCTGTTGTGGTGTCAGCAGTAGTGGCTCCCTGATCTCTCAATTGTAGCTAGAGTGGTGTGTTTTTGAAGTCAATAAATTTTGTAGTGACTTCTGGAGTCTCCACTTTTCTTATTGGACCAGAGGTCATAGTTCTCTAATAAATCAGTTCTACAGTGTTCAGGAAACATTCCTGAATTCCTAGCCTAGAGCCTCTCTCGCCAGCCTTTCCAAAGATTTGGTAAGCATTTTATTCCCTGTTTTAAATCCCTGTTTTCTGAAAATACCTGAAACTTACTCTGTTTTCTGTACCAAAACCTAATTGACACACATGTGCAAATTTCATTCATACCTTACAAAGTCTTTGAGAGGATTAAACCATTTTAAGCATATTTAATATTGCTTCCTCTTTTGAAAGATGCATATTCATGATATGAGAAGCAACTGTCAAATTGCCTCATGGCATTCTCTTGTCATTAATTTTGCTCAGCTAATATTGTCTAAACAAATTTTGTGACGTATTGGATCTCCTGCGCAAATAGTGCAGAAGAAGCAATTGCATATTCAATTGGTATCTAGATTTTATAAATTTCCAGTTCTAAGAATGTGAGTTTGTATGATACCTGTTCTATAAATGAATAGTTTTCACTTCAATTTTACATTTTACTAGTATTGTTACTATTTTTATTTTGCAGTGGTCATAATTAGAAGCACTATGGCTAATTTTGTAAGTGGAAGTGGACTGACATGACGCCATGTGTGGCAAGATTTTGAGCAGATTTGGAGAAATGTTGCTCTTTGCTCTCTTTTGATCTTATACTCTCTAAAGGAATAAAATAATTCTCCTTCCCCTTTTTAATGAATTTCCTTTTAGAAATATGTGTTGTTGTATCTATGGAATCAAGAGACCTTTTCCCATTTAAACTAGCCCACATATTCAGCTACTATTAAGGCACCAATGTACTTCATAGCAGTTATTTCCTGACTTGATTCGTTGCCCTCCTGTTTCAGCCTGGCTCCTGGCTCTTGCTTCTATTTCCATCTGTGGGTGCTTCTTTGGCCTTTCAATTTGTAATCAGTCTTTTATTCTGCCCTCCTAAAAGGCTCATCCCACTGACATTTTTTTTCCTTGAGACTTTCTTAGGAGGGGTGTATGTGTGTATCACCTAAGAAAGTCTCCTAAAAACATATATGTGTATATATACTTTAGTTTTCATCCCTCAGGACTTACATTCACTTGAACCTTGACTATGAAGACACCCTTCAGCTTTCCTCAATAGGTGAACTCAGAAAATAGGAGAATTACACTAAGTACTCATTACTTTCTTAGGTTATTTTATATATTGGACAGAATAAACTACATCAAATTTTCCAGGACTTTGTGCCTGAAAGTTTATTCATTTACTTCCACATGTATAAAACTCCATCATATGGTGGAATAAAGTTTTCTTAATTCATCCGTCATTTATTTTTATTTATTTTTGACACAGGGTCTTGCTCTGTTGCCTGGACTAGAGTGCAGTGACACAACCACAGCTCACTGTGGTCTCAACCTCGTGGGCTCTGTAGCTGAGAAAACTTGGAAGTGACCAAATAAATAATATAAAATAATACAACTGTGATTTAAAAAATTTTTAACGTCAGCAGTACAATATTTAAGCATATAAATTCAAGTTAAGTATACAAATTTAGCTCAATTCAACACACAATGATTAAGCACTTAAGATTTTACCAGCCTATTCTTCAATTATGTGAGAAACATGGCTTATTGATTAAATGTCATAAACAATACAAGATAAAATATAAGTTAATGTGAAGAATATATGGCACAAGCAAGTACTTTATGAAATGGATCTTGTAGAATGGGTACAATTTAAGTAAGTGACGAGTAGATTTTCTAATTAAACATGATAGAGTGAGAAGTATGAATCTGACATATTGAGGAAATGAAGAAAATTAGTCTGAAGTGGAAGGTATGTGTTAGGGAACAGGGAAAATATAATTAGGTAAGAAAGCAAAGTTAGATTAGTTGATGGGGTTATCTTAGGACTGATATTTAAAATTGATTTGATGAACAAGAAGAAATTATAGGTTCTTGAGATGGAAGCTGTGATGTGGATTTAGAAAAGAGTTTTCAGAATAGTTTATGGTAGTATTTAACATGGGATGGGAAAATTGGAGGTAAATCTAAAAATAAGAAACTATTAAGGTTAGAATTAGTCAATAAAAAATGATAGATGATGGAGCATGTGCAACACAGTGAAAGGCTATCTCTATGAAAAATAAACAAATAGCTGGGTGTGGTGACACATTCCTGTAGTACCAGCTACTTGGGAGACTGAGGTGGAAAGATAACTTTATTTTGTGTTTTATGCTGATCATTTAGAGAAAAACATTAAGAAAAGATTTGGGATGTCAAATCCTCTTGAATTTTAATTACACATAAAAAAAAGTAGAATAAAAGCTCTGTGAAGCAAATATTCTTAGATACGTACATTAATATAAAAAATATGAACAATGCAAATAAAATATTTTTTTCCTTTCTTTTCCCAGTGTTGTGAACTACCTGTCATGGGATAAACAAAATTAAACCTGAAATCTTAGAAGAAACAAATTGTTTGAAGAAATTGGATGTGCTTTTTTTAAAAATTTTTCATTCAACTGAAACTTTGTGAACTGTTTCATGGTTGCAGTCTTCTCTGAATTTTAATCTTCAGCATTCACTTCCAAAGTATCCCCCACTAAACTGTATAATATTTATTGTGTCTCTTCATCATTAAACTTTGATGAATTTATAGAGTGTTTTTTGACATTATGTTCCTGAGAAAGGTAAGTTTCCTAAAAATCCCACCACCTTGGAAACAGAATTTTCTGAAACTTTTATACCTGGCTAAGTTACCTATTTTTTTATGGAGTCAACTTGTCCTCAAAACAAAATTAATATTTTATTTCCCTTTGGACAAGGACACATTAAACATTTAGTGCAGCATGCACATCTTTTAGAGATGTAGAACCATAAACAGTTATTTGTATACACTTCTTATGACATAGGGTGACTTTTACAATTTGCTGTGCTATTTAAAGTTAAATGCTCACCACTACATATTGTACCTGTGAAAAGATTTTAGGTTAGCTTTGATAATTTAAAATATTTTTGCTACAGCCAGTAGCCTACTAATGATGACATGAAATTCTGACATTGTTTTTACTGTGATTACATTGTATTTTTTCATATCTGTTATGTAGCAACCAACATAGTAGCAATAATAATAATTTGGTAACGAGTTCACATGGTTTTTGGATGGGGTGCTGTGTCCATCCCTAGGTGTTTATTATTATAGTGATAACTTATAAGAAGCACAACTTGGTGTACCCACATTAGTGCAAATTTCACTAGTCAGGAAAATGAATAAAGGGGTTCTTTTGATTAGCCCTATATGAAGTATTCTGAAAAAAATATTTTAATAGATTTGTATCCTCTTTCCATATATCTCATGTAAACTGTAATTTTTAATAATTCCCCCAAATGAATAAAAGCCATCTTTACCATTCAAACTTTAAAAAAAAAAAAGAAGAAGAAAAATTAGTATTTATCGAATATAGGTCCTCACAGATTTGTTGTGAGAATTAAATGTGATACAATTTTTAAGGTAAAATCTGTAGCACAATTCCTAGAACATATTATATGCTCAGTAAAGGATAGTAAATGCTACTGGACTGACCCCTTAATCTCATATGTCATTCCAAAATAATGAATGAAGGCCAATTCATTGCATTTGGCACTGGAAAGACCAGACAGCTGCTTGAAAGCCGTGGTTGATTGTTGAGATTTCTGAAGCTCAATCTTCGTTCCATGTGAAAGCTTGGCTGTGGTTAATTTGTGATGTCTGTCTTAAGTTTGTGGTTAAAAAGGAACAGAAATCATTTTTTAACATCTTTATTTATTGTGGGGGATTCATTGGCAGATAAAAATGAAAAAATAGGCTGGAAGCAAACTGGCAAAACATTTTAGTGTGTGTGAGGTCCATGGTTTTCACTGAATAGTTTTCAATGAGTGTTTTGTTATACAAACCATATTTGGTAAAATAACTCATAAAAATTTGGAAACGAATGGGAAAAGGTAAAACCAGTAGGGAGATTATTATGATACAAAAACGAAGCTCTGAACTAAAGGTGTACAGATAAGGAGAGAATAGGATTGATTTGATAAGTATTTTGTGAGTAAAATTAATAGTCTTCGATGGTCAACTGATGTTGAAGGTAAAACATAGAATAACTCCCATGTTTCCTTGTCAATGATTGGGCAGAAAATGATGCCATTAAGAGAGGGAATTCAGGAGCATATGTGTGTATATGGGGGAGTGAATTTGGTTTTGAACATACTAAGTATAGATTGTCTGCTTAACCTGAAAATAAAGGTATCTAATAGGTAATTAGAAAAGGATTCTAAAGGCTAAGGAGAGAAAGAGAAGCCAGAGATATACTTGGGGTGATCAACATATCATTGGTAATTAATTGTAATTTGCACAGTAGATGCACTGAAGAGGACAACCAGTTATCTAGACAGGTATTTACCTCATGAGAGTGAACTGCGCACATCTCTTTCCAACATTGTGATTAGTTATGTCATGTTGATATCTTGAAATTGGACATAGTATGTACATTTATACCACAGAAGTCTCAAGCACTACTATCAAAACCTACTCTCCCCCTCACCAGTGCTATTAAGCATTTACCAACTAGTCTAATAGGGAAAACAAGTGAACATCGTGCTGCTTTGTTTGACTCAGGGATGAGGGGTGCCCAGGTCCTGGTTACTTGTCTTTAACTTTCCTTAGGGAGTACTAATTTAGGAGTCATTGTTCTAACCAATTAAAGTGAAGTCACTGTCCGGTTTTTCTCTTTTGCCCTTGTGAACAAGGAAGCTAAGGGTTAAAGTCTATTTCTTATGTATTTGTGTGTTGCAGGATCTTTTCATAAAGATTTTCTTCTTTTTACTGTTGTATGGCATTAGCTCATCTGTGTTTACAGTGCAAACTGCTTCAAATCTATTAAGTTGATTGCATGTACATTAATCAGTCACCCGGGCTCTCAATTTGATGAAAATAGACTCTCTGTTGCAATTTTCCCAACAGTTTAAGGCTTTCCCAGTCCTCTGCTGCAGCTCTTCATTAAGCACATGCTTAGAAGGAACTAGGAAATGATGTAAGGCAAACAAACCTCTCTACATCTTTAATAGTCACAGGTGGACTCTGGCATTAGAAATTAAAATAAGATAGATGAAATAAATAAGAGATGATAATAATACATAATAGATGAAATACATGAAATAATGTAGTTAAAATACAAAATTATTTGTGGATTCTGAATTTCTGGAATAAAATTAATATCTAGGGAATTGTGTGTCTGAAAAAAAATACATTTTGAGGAAAACATTTCCCCACACCAGTTTACACCCAAAACCAACAGATGACACATATAATCTGAAGCTAATGAAACTGATGACAGAAACATCTATTTAAGACTATGGATTGTTACTCCCTGACAGCTGGAGAATGCTTTACTAGAACAGTTGCTAAATATAGTATCTGTATTTGGCATATAATATTTCCCATATTGACATTACAACAATTGGCAAAACTGTGTACATCGTGAAGCATAAGCTAAGAAAACTAACCATGTCATTTCTCAAAGCTATATTTGTAAAGGGCACATAAGTGATGTTTGATAAAATAAACACCAAGCTGCAAAGTCATTTGTGTGACAACAAACTTTAGAAATTACCACTTCTCTTTAAGTTGAACTATAAGTTTGCAACAGGTACTGATCTATAAAGAGAAAAGTCTACAATTTTTTTTTTTGTTAAAAACAAACAGCTGCTAAATACCATATTAAGGTTCAAGGTTTATAAGGGAAGCAATATATCCAGATGATAGATAGATAGATAGATAGATAGATAGATAGATAGATAGATAGATAGATAGATGATAGACACATTCCATGAGAAGAAGAAGAAAAAAACAAGAATGCCAGAATTTAATTTAGTATTATTCTTCATTCTATACCTGTAGAAATGCTCTTAGCACCTGTCTAAAGACCAGTAGTCTCTCTCTTACCTTTAACTCTCCTCTCAAATGGCTATGTTAGTCAAACCTTCGTTAAAGCACAGGTGCTAAATTCTGCCTATTTTAGGAAGTCGTAGACTAGTCCAGATGTGCTTGAGGAGCCATTTATTATCCCCTGGCTTTCTGCTTCTGAGATATGCATATGGCAAACACTAAAATATTGTTACCTAATCAAAATTCCAGGACTAAAATTCATGACCCTCAAGTATCCCAAATTAGATTTATCATGATTCTTGATTCATCATACATTTCATCATTGGTTCATGAGACTCACTGGAAGTTCTTCCTCAGGTGAAACCCTACAGTCCACAGCAAATTAGGGAGACTGGTCACCCTAAGTCATACCCCAAATAACTTCAAATCATTCATTTTTAAAATTAAAACATAGAGTCTGTAGCTACCATTTCATCCCTAATATTACTGAGTTCTCAATACACACCACATTCTCTCTCTCCCTTTTTTTTTCTTTTTTGGTCTTTTTAATTTCCTTTTTCTGTAGGGGTCTTGCTACACTGCCCAGGCAGGTCTCAAACTCCTAGGCTTCAGCTGTCTTCCCACCTCTCCCTCCCTAAGAGCTAGGATTACAGGCATGAGCCACCACACCTGGCACATGTCACATTGTCTCCTAGCACTTGAGGTAGATACTATGGTTAACTCACTTTACTAAAATAAAGAACTAAGCACTGAGAGTTTAAGTAACTGACCACAGGCCTCACAGTTAGGGTAGATTCCAGAGTCCACATTTTAAAGCACTTTAAGCTGGGGCCTGGAAACAAATTAAATAAAACATCAATGTATTCATTAATGTGTCTGCTTGTTTTCACTGGCAAAACAAGCATGTATGTTGTGGCTAGCACTGTTAGATTGAAATAGAATAGTATATTTCTAATGCTAACAGAGTTTTAGTGTAACTAGCATATTAAATAATATGGCCATGTGTAAATTGTCATTATTTGTATAATAGAGCCCATTGCAAAATTGTAATAAATAGTATTTTTTTTTCAGCTACCTTATAGAGCAAGAAAGTAGAAGCTTATTGGAAGCTTATATTCTAGGCTTTAAGGTTAATCTTTATTATTTTAGGATTGGGGCTTTAGAAGAAGGTATAATATTTTCATGATATTTGGACTAGTTTGTTCTAATTTTATAACTTGAATCTTGTTTGCCTTAAATCTTTTTTCTTTAAATGTACTTATGCCTATGTTGAGAACATTTGTGATCTTGTACTTCTTCCTGTGATGGTTTGTTTAATGCCCATCTGTCTGAGTAGACTGTAAGCTCCTCAGGGAAAGGATCCTATTTTCTGTGTTCAGCATTGAATTATCAGTGCCTGACACAGGGTCTGGTATATAGTGAGCACCCAAAAAATATTTATTGAATAGAAGAATGCCTGAGAAACTGAATAAATGGACAAACATATAGAAGTTTATAAGCACTGAGTAAGAAGTGAAAAAATATAGCTGCCGACATTTTAAAAAAACAGAATGTAAAGTTTTCAAAGTATAAATTAATGCAATAAAATGATTTGGAATGTAAAATTAATGTTATTTTATTATTGCTGTTAACATTTCTTGGGTACTTACTGTGTCCCAAATACCAGGCTAAATGCTTTTTAAAACATTTAATCATAATAAAAAAAAATCTGTGAAGCTGGTGCTATTATTGGCCAC